GGGGGCGCGGGCAGGGCCGGCTGCTGAGACGCGCTGCTGCCCCCCGCGCGGGCGCCGCGGCTTCAATGGCGCCATCGCCCAGGACCGGCAGCCGGCAAGATGCGACCGCCCTGCCCAGCATGTCCTCAACTTTTTGGGCGTTCATGATCCTGGCCAGCCTGCTCATCGCCTACTGCAGTGAGTACCGCGCGGCCCGGCCCCATGGCCTCCCGGCCCGGCCCAGGCGGGGCGCCTCGCGGGCTGCCCGGAGTCGGCGCGGAGTTGCAGCGCGGGGCGCGCGGGCCCGGGTCCCAGCCGGTCCTCGCAGGGCCAGGGGGACGAGGGCCCGCCGGTACCGGATCTCGGGCACTTCGGGTGCAGGCACCGCCGCCGAGCTTCCCTCCCCGACTCCCGGGCCCGGCCTGGACGCCAGGCCCCGGGTAGCGCGGCGCGTCCCAGCGCGGCGGTGCCCGCAGCTGCCCGGCGTGCTGTCGCCGTTCCTGGCCCAGGCTGGCGACCTGAGCCGAGCTGGCGGCTTCCAGGCCGGGGCTCGGTGCGGAGTCGAGCTCCAGAGGCAGAGGGAGGTCCCGGGCGGCGGCAGCGCTGGCGGGGCGTCGGCGGAGCTTCCTGCCAGGCGCTGCTCGCCGGCGACGCTCCCGTCGGGAACGTGGGGACGCGGCGGCCGAGCCCGGAGCGGGGCGCCTCGAGCGGGAACGGTGCTCAGGCTGGGGCGCGCGGCGGAGCGGCTGACTCCGGGGAGAGGGCTCGCTGGGCGCTTTCTCGAAAAGGCGGAAAAGTGAGGGGTGGGATGTGGACAGGGGGCTCGGGCCGCCGCCGGCATTGCGCGAGCCGCGACCGAGGACCTGTGCCTGCGACCCAGCGGGGCGGCGGGCTTGGTCTGGTTGGCGCCCGGGTGCAGCCTCGGGGCTGGGACGGGTGGGGATGGCCGGCGCCCGGGCTCAGGCTGGGGTTGAGGTGGCGAGGGATGGCCTGTCCCCGGCGGCCAGGCACAGGCTCCGGATCCTTGCGGTCCTGGCGAGAGGGAAGGACGGGTGCTGGGGAGCACCTGTCATGGAGAATTGCCATGGGCGCGGGAGGTGATGAAAAAATATGGATTCTCCACAAAAAAATAAATATATAAATAAATAAAGAGGCCAGCGCCAAGCCGCGGTCCCCCGCCGCCTCCGGAGCGCGGGCCTGTCGCCCCCAGCCGGAGCCTGCCTTCCACCCTCTCAGAGATGAGACTGCAGCGGGCCACGGAGCCCAGGGCCGCGGCTCGGCCCCTGTCCTGGGACGGCCCGGCCCGTCAGGTCGCCCCCACTGCGAGCCACGCGTCTGCCAGAGCGGGATGGTTCCTGCTAGCCTCCGCCAGCTGTGCAGTGCCCCACAGTTGCTGGCCAGGCTGTGCCGCCGTGCGCGGAGGGGTCGCCCAGCAGGAAGGGTGCCGGGGAGGTCATAACCTGGCTGCCCAGGCCGGCCCGCTGCCCCTGGTTCACAGGGCGCATCCCTCAGAACAGGCCAGGACAGCTGCAGAAAGTGGTCTAGGATGGATGAGTGACATTTGCCTCCACAAGCCAGCACCCTAGGCTATCTTGGGGTCGCGGGTGGTGTTCACAGGTTCTCTAATGGAGCCCTGAGCAAGGCTTCCTTGGTGATGAAGAAAGGGTTAAGGGCAAGTAAACTCCTGCTGCCTGGTGGAGGGGGTGTCATTTGAATGTACTTCCTAGTGGCATGGCGGGGGGGGGGGGGGGGGGGAACATTCAGCCGTGTTTGGAGAGGACAGGAGTGCCCTGAGCCCCCCACCACTGGTCCCTGGCCAACTCCAGTGCCAGCGTCCTTGGCGCCCATGCGGAGAACCAGTGGCAGCCAGCTGGCCCGTGGAGGCAGCTCTCCAGGTGGGGAAAAGAACAGCTGCTAATTGTTGTTAAGTACCTGACACCCTGGCCCTGTTTCTCCAGCACTAAGTGCACCCCTGCGCCCGCAAGGGCACTCCCTGTATCTGCATCCTCACTCAAAATATGCAGTGTCGCCCCACTCCCCGCCCTGTGCCCCCCACTCCCCCGACTGCCCGCCTGAATGCTTCGGGCAGCATCTCTGTTCACGGTGATGGCTCACACCTTCCCAAGGCTGTGGCCTGCTTTGCGAAGTCAGGTGTCAGAGTGTGGCTGCTCAGCCGCAGGGCCGGATGAGCGAGCTGCCTGTGTACATGCACCCCTGCCTTCAGAAGCCTCCCTGGCTTCTGCAAACAGTGCTTCTGCCACGGACAAGGGCGTTCGGTGGCAATGCCTCACCCAAGCATTAACAGAAGCGTGGGTTCAGCACGTTTTTATGGTTTTCATCTCCACGTAATGGAATAATCGACAGTAAGAAAACGTTCTCGGACACACCCCATTACACCGGAAATGCACTTGGAGAAATTAAAACATTTCATTAAAACACAAAATAGACATAATAATAATTTATAGCTTGGAACTGCAGTCCTAGAGGAAGAAAATATACATTTTTATCTTTTAGAATTGATAAAGCAAGTAAAACAGTTCCTATCACCTTCATTCTCTTTTCCAGCAGATCTGGGGTGAAGAAGAAGGGTTACCATCCTTGTTTGTAAATTGTTTTTGTTATCAGTAAGGGTTTTTGTTACTCAGAATGTGTGTGTGTGTGTTAGGAGCAGATCTATTTGTCTCTTATTAGTTCAGGAAACTAATAAGTATCATACAGGATTCAATTATCCTGCCTATTAAGTCTGTGCATTTCTCTGCGGCACGTAAGGTGTCTGCTTCCTGGCACTGCTGAAAGGAAGCCGGATGATTTCTTGCCCGGGTTCTCAGTTAGGGGGGATTCTACTGTTCTCGGCCCAGGGAAAGCTGTTCCTCCTCACCAGGACACGATTCCTATTTAAGGGGATGAGCTCCACCCTCTGGTTGGGGACAGAACTGCAGTCCACCAATTAGGTTAGTTGCTATAGTGACACAGCCTTGTCATTTTCTCCGATTGGGGAAGAATTGCTGGAGAAGCAGAAAGGGGCAGGGGCCCCCAGTGGCTTCCTTCTAAATGCACACTGTACCGTCTGTGGGCTTCAGCACGCTGACAGCTGGGTGGGTCACCCGGGCAGCGACGCTGGCTGCGCACAGGGCTGGACGTCGCCTGTTGGTGAGCGGACGTGGTTGATGATGAGCTCTGATGGGAAAGTTGGACCTCTGCTTCGTCCTGGTCTGTGGAGACACCTCTGGGTGTGGTGTAAAAGGAGCTGGGTTGAATTGTTGTCCCCCCAGCAGAGAGGAACTAGCGGTGTCTGTGTGGACGGGGTTCCTGAGTGGGGTGGGGACTGCTCCAGACCTGGTCTCTCCACAGTGCCTTCCAGAATCTTGTGCAGAACCACAGTGAGGGAGATGTCTGAGGACACCTGAGCCATGACGTTGAAGCTAGTGTGCGGTGAGATAAAGGAGCCCTGGTGGCGCAGTGGTTAGGCGCTGGGCTGTTAACTGAAAGGTTGGTGGTTTGAACCCACCAGCAGCTCGGAGGAGGGAGAAAAGGCTTGACAATCAGCTTCCTCCAAGATTACAGCCGAGGAAGCCCTCGGGGGCACTTCTACTCGGTCCGGTAGGTTCTCTGTAAGTCGAAATGGACGCCAGGGCACAGACCGACGATAACGTGCAGCGTTCTGTTCAAAAGCGGGGAACACTGAGTATTAGCGTGCCTCCCACTCAGGTGGTTTGGGGGGCAGCCCAAGCATGTAAAGCTGGGTTAGGAGGGGACCTTGCATTCTAAGCACCTAGCCATGGGGGGGAGGGGTGACTTGACTGTTTTCCACATGGATTTTTTCTTTCCAAATAATTTCCGTCAAAATTGAATTGTGTGTTTAAGTGAAATCTCCTGTCTTCAGCTGAAACTATGAGAAGAAATTGCAAACAACTTTTGACTTGTCTTTAATCCATTAGAATACTAACCGAGCGTAAGCATTTGTATGTCGCCTGTCTTTTATAAATACAATTTATTGCATAGTTAAGAGAGATTAGAATACGCGACTTTCTCGCTGTTGGAATTTTTTTCTGGAGTTCTCGGAGGGGTGAAATTGAAAACGCTGGAGGCTTAATGAAGTGCTGCCTTTCAGAGGTTTATTTGTCCTCTTGGGTTTGCTGTTGTTGTTTTAATTCTGACTGTGTTTTTATTTGATGACTTGCTGGCACAAGGAGATGTGTGGTTTGTCTCTCTGCTACCTGAAGATAAGTTACCTCAGTTTGTGGGATTTTATCATTGAGGTGGAGGCGGGTTTGCCCTCTCGAACGGTTCTCCTGAGCAGAGACCCGACGCAGCGGCTCCTGGGGGAAGGGACTTCTGGGAATTTCTAGAACAGTGTCTGCCTGGGGTGAAGGGGTCATGGGGGGCCAGAGGGTCTGTCTGGTGCTTCACTCCCTTCCACGAGGCCCGTCCCTGGCTCTCCCCCTGAAGGGTGGTCTTCCCGGGGGTCCGCGCCCCTCTAGTGCCCCCAAGTGGTCAGTGCTGAGATGGCCTGGCCCCCGAGGCCAGGACACAGCTCACCCAAGACAGGGCCGTGCCAACACTCAGCAGGGCTGGCCTGCGAGCCACCGTCTCCCTGGGGAATTCTGCCCTGGGATTCCCCTCTCAGGCCCCAACACCCCATCTTCGCTGAATGAAATACGCAGATCTTGTGGCATGAAGTATTTTCAGGTGACTTTTATGGGCGTAATTACGGGAAAACGTTATGATAATGTGGCCCTAGAAAAGGCAAGGAAAGCAAAACATTAAAGTCCCCATGTCTTTATATAGCACACAGCTGCCCCGATGAGAAGGGCTCGTTTCTGCAGTAAAATGTGATGCTCTGGAGTTAATGACCTCTACAGAGTGCCACCTGTCACCCAGCCTGCGTCAGCCATGGCCGCGACCGGTGTGGGAGACAGTGGCGAGGACCCTGACAGCAGCTCTGGCTCGAGGAGACGCTCCTCTGGGTCTGGAGAAGTGTCCTTGCTGCCTTGCAGGGGTCTGGGCTGGCAGCGGGGACAGAGAGTGGCCAGTAGCATCCCTTTCTGAATGCTGCCTTCCCCACGGTTCACGGGGTCCCCATCTAGCAGGATGCACTGGGCTGGGGTTAGGGAGGCCAGAGCTGTGTGGTTTCGGTGCCGGCCCTGCGGGCATCCTGGAGGCCCACCCTTTGGAGCCGATGAAGGGCCGCAGGCCCA